GTGTTATAGGCCTCAGAGTAGTTGCCTAATAGGTTTCAGATTTTTCCAGGAACAGGGTCCTTTTGCCTAAACTCATTTACCTCAGCAGATGCCTGGTCACCAGACCTTTCCTGGCAGTTGACTGATTGGGGATTGGCACCAACACAGTCAATCATTGGTTCTTCCTTGGGATTTTGAAATTAGGTGTAAAGGTTTCTAGTCTTTGATTTGGGCTGGCCTTTCCAATAATGATGTTAAAGTATAGAGGGTCTAGGGACATGGATCAATCAGTAGGGGTCTTGTCACACAAGCAGGTTTGTTGACAGCATTTGGGAAGTTACAGCTAGCTGACTACTGTATAATTATGACACTTTAAACATTTTTCTATTCTCTTTTGGTTTCATTTTTAAGAATTATTTTAATTGTTATTCGTCTGTATTTGTGTATGTGGGTACAGGTGCATCTACAATAGGATGTCAGATTCCTTGGAGCTGAAGTTACAGGGAGCTGGGAACTGCGTGAAGTGGGTGCTGGGAACTTAATTCAGGTCCTCTACAAGAGTAGTACTTGCTTCTAATCAGTGAGCGACCTTTCGAGCCTCTCATTCCATTTATAATAAGATTTAATGACCTGGCCCATCACCTCTACTTGAAGTTCGTCTCTGAATTTTCGCTTTCTTTCAAAGCTCCAGTTCACTCCCTCCAGAGGCTGCACTTAAATTTTCTTCCTTCAAGTCTCTTCCTTCAGGGCTTTGCGAGATGTTTGTTCCTCACACGAGGGCTGTCAAAAAGGCATGAATAGGAGGCCAGGGAGACAGCTCAATCACTAAACTGCTTGCCAACACAAGCATGAAAACCTGAGCTTGGATCTCCCTACATCTATGTATAAAAGCTGGGCCTAGTGTGTCACGCTTCTAATCTTGGCACTGGAGAAACAGACAGAGTGGATCCATGGAACTTGCTGGCCTGACAGCCTAACCAAATTGATGCACTCCAAGTTCAGTGAGAAAACTGTCTCAGAAAACTAAGGTACATGGACTGATGAGATGACCTAGCAGGTAAAAGCTCCACCAAACCTTAGGACTCAAGTTCGACACCCAGACCCCACATGGTGGAAAGTGAGACCAAGCTCCTGATCTCCACAAACTCAGATAAATAAATGTAATAAATTAAAAATAAAGTAGAATGTGACTGAGGAAGACATCCAACATCAACATCCACAGGCATATGTGCACACATAAGCATATATATACAATACACAGATAAGGGATGACTAAACTCAACAGATTATCTCTTAGGATATGTAATGGTTAAATGAATACATACACACTAAAACAAGACTGTAATATATAGTTAATAAAAATACTCTGATTGGTACTCATTAGGAACTGACTATGACCTCTTTCTAGCCTCTTTAAGGGCCCCTTTCTTCAACTACATCATTTAAGGTTTTTAAATTTTTCTCAGAAGGACTGGAGAGATGGCTGAGTGGTTGAGAGCACTAACGGCTTCCAAAGGTCCTGAGTTCAATTCCCAGCAACCACATGGTGGCTCACAACCATCTGTAATAGGATCTGATGCCCTTGTTTGGTGTGTCTGAGGATAGTGTAAGTGTACTCATATACATACAATAAATAAATTCTTTAAAAATGAAATTCTCACTGGGCAGTGGTGGCGCACGCCTTTAATCCCAGCACTTGGGAGGCAGAGGCATGCGGGTTTCTGAGTTCAAGGCCAGCCTGGTCTACAGAGTGAGTTCCAGGACAGCCAGAGAAATACAGAGAAACCCTGTCTTGAAAAACAAAAACAAAAACAAAAACAAAAATTCTCTCAGAAATGTGTATGTATCTATTTTCTAGCCCTAGTTCCTAGGAGCAAAATTACTTTTTCCTGACTTGTTCATTTTCTTTTTTTCTTTCCTTTTTTTTTTTTTTTTTTTTTTTTGGTTTTTCAAGACAGGGTTTCTCTGTATAGCCCTGGCTGTCTGGCTGTACTGGAACTCACTCTGTAGACCAGGCTGACCTTGAACTCAGAAATCCGCCTGCCTCTACCTCCCAAGTGCTGGGATTAAAGGCGTGCGCCCCCACTGCCCGGCAACTTGTTCATTTTCTTAACTGCTAAGATGTACATTTACTTCAACTTCAAAACTGTAACCAGCTAGAAGGGTCAGAAACTAGTTTTGAGGGTTATAAGCATTATTTAAAAACAAAGCAAGCAGCTAGGCGGTGGTGATCAGCACTAAGGAAGTAGAGGCAGGTGGATGTCTGTGAGTTTGACACCAGCCTGGTCTCTAGAGTGAGTTCCAGGACAGCCAAGGGCTACACAGAAAAATCCTGTCTCATCACTACCCCTAAATCCCTTTCCCCCCAACTCCACAAAACAACAAAAAACAAAGCAAACTAAAATAGAATTTAAGAGAAAACATTAGTCCATGCCACACCAGTAAGTAACATCCCTCCATGGTCTCTGCATCAGTTCTTGCTTCCTGACCTGCTTGAGTTCAGTCTTGACTTCCTTTAGTGATAAACAGCAGTGTGGAAGTGTAAGCTGAATAAACCCTTTCCTTCCCAACTTGCTTCTTGGTCATGATGTTTGTTCAGGAATAGAAACCGACTAAGACAGATGGATACAGTAAATATGGCAATATGCTTTTAGACAAGCTAAACAAAAACTTGTTGTGGTAATGCCACAGTCTAAATTGTTGCCACAGAGCATTTAGAATGAAAAAGTACAGAACACTTTTATGTTAGATATATGTGGCAAACCAGTCTTATATAATTATTACTGTCTGTGTAGGAAAATATATTCAAAAGTAGAAATTAACATTTAAACAATTCTAAGCCAACAAGATCACTCATTAGGCACAGGCAGTTGCTCTGTAAGCCTGGCCACCTAGAAGGAGAGAATAGACTCCACAAAGTTGTCCTTTGACCTCTCTCATTGTTTTTACACTATGCTACATTACTTTAGTAAGGTAGATTAAATTTCATGGGTGGGTAGGTGTATACACTGGGTTACAGGGGAGAAACTACTTTTTTCTTGTTTTGTTTTTTTCCCAGATAGTGTCTCACTACGTAGCTCTGGCTGTCCTGGAACTCACTCTGTAGACCAGGATGGACTCGATTTCACAGAGATCCACCTATCTCTGCCTCTCACGTGCTGATCTGAGTAGCTTACACCACCGATTAGGATCTACGTCTCACTGTGGATTGATGTTCAAAGTATTTGGAAGGCACCCAGCCCTAGATAATGTTGTATGACAGGTTTCCTACAGAAGAGTTTGGCTCGAGGAAAAACAGACTACAATTTCTGAGATACATTGCAGAGACTGAACACAGGTATAGCACTCGTCAGTTGGAGATTGGATAGAGGATGATAAACAAAAAGTGTCCCAGAAACATTAATTGCCCTGTTAAGATGGAAGAAACAAGTCTATGGGCAAAAAGGTCACTTCAGTCCAAAACAGGAGACCCCCAATCAGAATCAGGAGTAGTGGAAGGAACGTTGGAGGTCAAAAATAGTGTCAAGGAAATATTGCAGCATTTTAAAGAAGAAATTCATCACTTTCTCTTTTTTTTCCTTGTTGTTGTTGCCAGTTTTTTCAGACAGGGTCTCACTATGTAGCTCTGGCTAGCTTAGAAGTCACTAAGTAGACCAGGCTGGCTTTGATCTGCCTGGCTCCAGAGTGCCACCACTTCCATTAAGAAGTGCTAGCTGACCTGGAGTTGTTTCTGTGGACCACGTTGAAATGTAACAGCCTGTATCTAAAGGCGTGTATCTCCACACCTGACTTGGAGCTAGCAGGACCTTTTGGGATGAACATTCCACCATTTGGTATACCTTTGGTAAGGAATAGAAGAGCAATTAAAAATGTCCGTGACGGCTCTTTGACTCAGCCCTTCAACCTCTAATATAGTTAATGGAATTAACAAGCTTGGGTTTCTTTGAGGATACGGAAAGGCAGCTTTCAAATTCACTTTCTACTGAATAGATTAAAAGGGCCAGTAATTCTCGTCCGTTAAAATCTGAATTCCAGTTCGTTTCCCACGGGTGCTCCAGCGAAGCCTAAGCAACGCTCCTTCCCACTCAGAAATGAGCCATGATTTTTTTTCCCCCCTGAGAGCACGTCCCCTAAAATAACACCAAACGCTGCCAAGACGTTCAAGTCTTCAAGAACTGTTCGTTTGCCAGTTCAGTTTCCCAACTGAGGCGCGTCACTGAGCGTCTCACCGCCATGCGCAAAAAGGCTAGGCAGAAGTGTAGGAGGCAGCGTGGCGCTTTCGGGAGGGGTCTGGGGAGAGTCTAGCCTTCGCTTTTCTACCCTGGACATCTCAGGTGACCGGGCAACGGCCCGGCAGGCCCGGCAGGCCCGGCTGCCGGGCCGCGAGCCCCTCACTCCATTCTTGGGTACGCCTGGAATCTTCAGCTGACAGCCCCGTTCCGGGGCGACGAGAGCCAGAGGCCAACGTCGGGCGGGACCCGGCGCCATGACTGGGTCGGTCCCAGGCACATCGCGACGCTCACCCTAAGGGATCCGCGAGCATGCCACGGTTTCCGGGCGAGAGGAGGAAATCACTCCGGGAACCCCAAACCCCTCCTTTGAAACCAAAGCAGAGATAGCGTCCCCGTTGCCACGGAGACAGGTCTATCTGTGACGTCACTTCCTCCGAGCTGTCTGGCCTCCAGACTGTTGAGAGGAAAAGAGGAAAACTGAGCAACAGCCACGACTGTGGACGCGAGCGTCTCTAGTGTGCGCATGCGCCCGCTCAGCGGCCTGCTTCTATTTATGTGGGGGATCCAACATGGCGGCTGCGGCGACCCTGGCGATGGCGGTGGAGCCCATCAGAACGTAGTAGCGGAGACAGGGACCCGGTCCGCACTCACGGTGGCGTCCGCGGGGACAGCTGAGGGTGCTGGAGGGAAGAAAAGTGACGGAGAGCGGAAGGAAAGGCGGGCAGGCACGCCGTGCGGCGTCGAGGCGAGAGCCGGCTCGAGCGAGCGCCGAGGGCCAGAACAGTGGGGATGGCGGAGCCGCGCAGAGTCGCGTTCATTAGCCTGTCACCGGTGAGGCGGCGCGAGGCCGACTTCGCGGGCGCGGAGCGCGAGCCCCCCCGACTGGAGCCGCAGCCGTACCGCGAGCCGGCCCGGGCGGAGCCGGCCCCCCGCGCTGACGCGCAGCCCCCGGCGCGCGACAAGCCGCTCCCCCAGCGCGAGGTCAGCCGCGCCGAGCCGCCCATGGCGCTGCAGCGCGAGCCCCCGCGGCCCGAGCCGCCGCCGCCGCCGCCGCCCCTGCAGACTCCCCCTCCGCGGGAGTCGGCTTCCCGAGCGGAGCCGCCGCCGCGACCGCCGAAGGAGACGGTTCGCCTGGAGCTGGTGCTCAAGGACCCCACGGACGAAAGCTGCGTGGAGTTCAGCTACCCGGAGCTGCTGCTGTGCGGAGAACAACGGGTACAGAGGGTCCCTCCCTCCCGGCCGCCCCACAGCCCGGGCGCCTCCGGACCCGCCGCCTGCCCGGGCTGCTCTGCACTTCGCTCGCCCCGGGGGTGGGGTGGCGGGGGCCGGGCGGCTAGACGGGGCGGGAGCTGCGCGGCTCGGCCCACCTGGGTGGCCGAGGCTGCCCCTTCCACACCGCGCCGAGCCGGTTTTCCTGTGCACCTTTCGAAACCTCAGCTTTTTCCTCCTTTTCCTTTCTGTTCCCCACACCAAATCCCGAGGCCCCGCGAGCCGGGCGGCTAGCTTCTTGTGGCACTTCAATCTGTCGTTCCGGTAGAAGGGAAGCGAAAAAAAAAAAAAAACCTTGGGGGGACACGCCCCCCGGTCTGAAGCGGAGAGATTGTGTGACCCCTTCTCGGCTCATCCTCATCCTTCCTCAACTCAGCTGTAACCGTGCGCCAGGGCTGCTGAGATGGGCTCGTGGCCGGGTGGTTTATTTTCCTTGATTGAAGGGGATTTAAGAGAAATTAAACATTTTCAGAAACTAATGGTTCCACGTTAGGAATGAAAAAGTGGATTCGTAATGTGGTTGCACTTGTGTTGGTAAATATTGTTAGCTTTGTGTGTGTGTGTTGAGATTGTGCATATTGTCTTTGAATGGAAAGGTCTCCTGTCTTATTCGGTGGCTCTCCAGTCATATTATTTGAGTGGCTCTCATTAGTTCGAATTGGGAGCATTTGCCAGTTGTAGTTTTCTGGAGAATGACGGAAAAAACATTCGCTTTGAATTAAAAAAAAAAAAAAACTTAGGAAAATACATCGGTATGCTCTTGAGGGGACCGGTGAACAATGGGATTAGGACAGCGGTTTGTCGGTGATTGTAATTTTTATTGTTGTGGGTTGGTGGTTGGTGATCTTTAGAAGGGGGAGATGGGAGAGAGAGAGACAGAGACAGGCAGACAGACATTGCCCTCTTGTTTAGCGACTATGCTCTTTATTAGGTTGGGCTTTCTATTGGACTCCAGAATGCATTAGTTCCTTTCAACTGTCTTCGTTGTTGTAGTGGATTACTCTTTAGTCAAAAGTCTCATATTGAGTAATATCATAAGTCTGTGTTCATTTTGTGCCAGATAATCCTTTGATGGCTAGTTACAAGTATTGTGTGGCCATCATTACTAAATGTTTTCAGAGAAAGTGAATTTTTTAGGGATAGAGACCTTTGGTTACTTCCACATAATATTTTATCCTGTGGACTCAATTCATTCATAACTCTTTGTTTTTATAATATAAATGTCATCTTTTTGTCTATTAAATTGGAGCATTTTCAAAAAAAACTTACCCTTGATTTGCTAATATAAGTAGGTGTACAGTTTTTACAATTTGCCTAAGTTAAGGATGCAAAACATTTTGTAGCCCGATATGCTAGTCTGTGACCTCAGCACGCTGGAGTCTGGGGTGGAGGATGGAGAGTTCAGACAACATAGTGAGAACCTGCCTCCAAAAAAACAAAAATTGGGCGACAAATGGCTCAGCAGGTAAAGGCACTTGCTGCCAAACCTAAAGACCTGAATTCTGCCCCCAGTATCCACATAGTGGAAGGAGAGAACCATCTTCTGCAATTTGTACACACACACACAAATAAGTATAATAAAATAGCAAGACAAAAGCCATTTTTAGGTAAAAATACATAATGCTAGTTAGTGTTTTGTCATTGTGCAAATATATAGGAAATACCTACCTACACTAACCTAGATGTTTTGTTTTGAAACAGGATTTGTGTAGCCCCAGCTGTCCTGGAATTCACTTTGTAGACCAGGTCTTCAACTCAGATCCCTCTGCCTCCTGAGCTCTGGGGTCAAAGGTGTGCACTTTCCTGCCAGGCTAACCTAGGTGCTTTAATCTGTTTTTAGCTATATCATACTTAAATTTAACCTACTGTATAGGCTCTGGGGTATTTACTTTTGTGTATGTGATCTTTCCTTGACCTTAAAAGCAATGTTTGGCATATGGCTATACTGTTATATTCTGTGGGACATATGAATTAGGTTTAATTGGCATTTTCTCATATATTCAACCATATATCTTTTCTTTGTAATTGCACAAAAGAATTTATTGTTTTTTAGCATGGTATACTTTTGTAGGAAGAGTTGCCACATTTTCCTATGATTAGTCCCATTTAACATATTATTTAAGAATGTGTAAAATACACTTCTGTAAGTGGATTGTGATGGTTCCATAAAGAGAGCATAGGAGTGACCAGCTAGAGAATGTCTGGAAAGTGGTGATCCCAAAATGTCCTCCTTTGGGAAGTCTGTTCTTTTTTTAATGCCGAGAATGAAGCCAAGGGTGTTGAACATGCCAGGCCAGGGATGTGCCGTATTATTGACATGACTCCAAGTACCTTCCCTCCTTTGCTTTTGAGACAAGATAATTTTAAGTTGGTCAGGCTGGCCATGAGTTAATTTGTAGCCCCTATTGGCCTTGAATTCATGATCTTCTTGTTTCAGATTTCTGAGTAGCTGGGATTTCAGTCCTGTACCACTAAGACTGGTTCAGATTAATTTATTTTCCAAAGTAACTTTAATTTTGAGTTACTATAATTAAATAGTGTACCTTAGTAGGCTAAGTCAAATTTAAAAAAAAAATCTCAATTTTTAAATAGCTGTATGTCAGCGAACAAGATTTGTCAACTGAAAGTTGGGCTGTTTAAAACAGTATGTGTAAATACCATCTGCGCTGGGGTACGTTTAAATAAGCCCCCTCCCTACCTCCTAAATGAAGTGTGCAATCCCAACTAACAGATATACAGTTGGAATTTTTTTATATTTATGAGGAAAAGTATATTTTGGCCAACTCTAACTAGCAAGATCATACGCAGGTTAGGTCAGCCTTTTGATTTGTTTTTTCTTTGTGGTATTGGTGCCATAACTGTGGTTCAGGAGGTGCCTGAGACATTGGAGTCATCCCTGCCCTGAAAGATGAGTTTGTTCCTCATTGCCAGCGATAGTGCATTACAAAGCCTGTTTTGGACTTGACAAATACATAAGAAAAAAGTTCAGTTCTTAGCAAAACAAGAAATCAGATAACCTGAGTACCCATTTAAGAACAAAATGAATGAAATGTTTCTGCTAAGAGAAAACCTGTGATAACAGTGGTGATGCCTGCACTGTAACAGAACTCTGGTACTCCTTTGTATATGTTGGATAAAACCTGTAAAGGATTTGACCTGCTGCTAGGATCAAAGGACAGAATCATCGAATTGATATCACACCTAGGTAGCTGACAACTTGCAATTTGTTACACCTGGATGGGGGAGATTCTTGAGTTTTTACTGGGAAACGAGATGGTTCTTTGTTGGTGTTTGTTGCTTTAAAGGAAGGTCTCACTGTGTAGCCCAGGTTGGCCTCAAATTTCTGTCAGACTTTGTACCTCAGCCTCACTGAATACTGGGATTGCTAACATTATTCTTAACTGTAAAGAAGTGAGTCTGTTTTAATTTTATAGAGCACATGTAAATAAGAGATAGATTTTGATTCCTGTATTAAGTACACAGAATATTTTAGAACAGGTTGGGCATGGTAATACTCTTTGTATCAGGATACTAAGGCAGGATTGTGACTACCCCAGACTGTGTAGTGAAATCCTGTCTTGAAAACAAATTTAGAATATTTTAAGGTGATTTCTTAGTTAAAATAATATAAATCTTTGTGCATATATATATATATATACACACACATATATATACACACATGAGTTATATATATAAATAAGTCAGGCTGGGTTGGAGGTAAAGCTCAGTGGTAGAGCTTTTGATTAGCAGCATATGAAAGGCTCTGGGTTCAGTAAAAGTCCCCCTCAGAATAAGGACCTAATATTTGGGATACACAGTGATGGGAGGGAAGATGCTGATTGCTTCAGTCAGTTCCACCAGCTTCAGACAACTGCTGTACCCTATTTAATGCTTACTCTCCCTACCAGTCTTATTTTGCTAGTTGTTTTATATTTTTCATTCACAGTGCCAATTAGGATAAGAAAGTCTATCAGTATTCATTATTACATTTAAAATTTGATTCTAAAATCCACTCCTTAAAAATCTTAAGTCTCTCTTTATTCTGATGTACCAGGGAGGATGAACCCTTCTGCCTTCATCCTGTCCATGTTTCCCTATCATGTTTTGTGTGTCAGTCTTTATAGTTAGGATGAAGCGCCTTAGTTCCAAATTCAGTTCTTTGCCCTGGTTGTAATACATTTTCATTTTTAATTATTTAAAGCTGCTACATCAGTTTGAAAAAATTAACCCTTTAAAACCTTTACTTTCAGATGTACACTTTTAATCCCAACATTAGAGAGAGAGAACCAGAAGAACCTCTGAGTTGGAGGCCATCCTGGTCTATGTAGTAAGTTAGGTCATCCAAGATTATGTAAAAGACCCTGTGTCCAAAAAACAAGACAGGCAAACAACAAAACTAGATTTAGTTTCAAAGTAAATTTTAAAAAATTAGATAAAAATAGTATTTTTTTTAAAGTAGCTCTTACCTTTTTTGTACATTGAAAAGCAAGCATATAAAACACATCTGCTAAAATATACAGGTATATGTAAGACTGGCAACCTGAACTCAATCCCCACAGTCCACAGAAAGATGCAAGGAAAGAACCAGCCTGATGAAATAAAGTTGCCCTTTGACCTCCACATGTATGCACATGCTCACTCATCCCCACCGTGCAGCACACAATAATATTTTCATTTTTAAAAATATGCTCATTGTGTGTGTGTTTGTGTTTTAAATTATATTTTAGAACAATGCTTCATTCTACAGTGTTAGAAGGAAGCCATGATGAGATATTGAACTTTTTGACTTTGTGTATTCCTTGAATTGATATCCATTGACAGGAGGTAGATGATACTGAAATTATTGATTATTAGTCTCAGCAGAAAGCCAGGACAGCTGCAAATACTTTAATAATAACTTGTAAGCATATAATGAATCCTGATTCTATAATTGAATACCGTTTTAGGGATATTAAATGGCTGAATTAGTCTTTTTTAGGGATAATATCAAAATAAAATGTATGTTTTCATTTTTACCTACTGTTAGTTTTGGGGAGAGATTGCTTTATTTGGGGTGGGATCATTTTTCAAGTGGAGTCAATTTAGATTGTTAACTTCTTGACCATCAAAAAAATGTACAGTGTGTGAAAGTCTATTAGCTGCAGATACTTTCCTCCTGTGTACCATCATTTTAAAAAATAGATTTTAATGCTTTTGACCTATTTGTTTATATCAAGAAAAATTGACTCATTGAAATTTAAAGATAACCAGGCAGTGGTGGTGCACGCCTTTAATCCCAGCACTTGGGAGGCAGAGGCAGGTAGATTTCTGAGTTCAAGGCCAGCCTTGTCTACAGAGTGAGCTCCAGGACAGCCAGGACTACATAGAGAAACTCTGTCTCGAAAAACCAAAAAATAAAAAATAAAAAAAATTTAAAGATATATTCTAGTCCGGAAAACAATACAATGGATGTTGTTAGGAAGTATATAATACCGAGAATATCTATATGTTATGCTATTAAATGTTTAGTTATACTGAACTGTAGTTGGTATATGATTAGTACATGGCAGTATAGTCGAAGTAGTACTAACACTTGCATTTCTTTCCTATTTCCTTTGAATCAGAAGAAACTTGTTCATACAGAAGATCCATTTACTGATGAGCATAAGGAGAGGCAAGAAGTGGAAATGTTGGCTAAGAAGTTTGAAATGAAATATGTGAGTACAATAATGTTCACCTAGGTAATTTTACCCTCTTGGCCTGTTTTCTTTGTGCAGCTAGTTGGGAGGGCCTATAAATAGCAACTGCTTACTTATCTTGATCGCGCAAATTGAAGCTGAATGAATGGTTTTGACAGCCAGACAGTTTTACAGGTTTGTCCTGACTGTATTAGTAGTCTGCATTCATTATAGTCGGTCTTTCTAGAATCTAAACAGTTTGCTTAACAAATCTTACAATAAAAAACTGTAAGGTAAGTAATATTTACTTTATTTATAGGTGAAGAGAAGAGGCTCTAAGTGTTTGGTCCATGGTCACACAAGGTCAAGAATAGGCACACATCCATCTGTGTGTATCTCTAGCTCTGTCTCCCTACCACTGTTGTGGAGAACTGTTTTTTTGTTTTTTGTTTTTTTTTTTTTTTTCCTTGGTTTTTCAAGACAGGGTTTCTCTGTGTAGTCCTGGCTGTCCTGGAACTCACTCTGTAGACCAGGCTGACCTCGAACTCAGAAATCCGTCTGCCTCTGCCTCCCAAGTGCTGGGATTAAAGGCGTGCGCCAACACCACCGCCCAGCGGAGAACTGTTTTTTTAATATGGCAGTTTATCAGCCTTCTTCCCTTTTAAGAGAGTACTTTAAGAGAAGTGCTTTAAACTGTACTTCTAAGCCTTATGGATCAGAATGAGTATGAAACTTCTTTATGTCATATTTACCTTAAATATTCTTTGTATATCCTTTAGTCCATGCAACAATATATTCTTATTTTAATAAAAATATAACTATATTATAAAAGTATAATATAATTTTTTGTATAACATTTCCTTCAGTTTTAAAAATATATGCCAGACCGTAGAAAGCTCTACTCCTATGTCTTGTTTATTCTCTGGCTTTAACTACTCTTGTGAGTTGAGAAGTGAGGCTGTACTTCTGGTTCCTCTGTGAGTATTAGAAATGCTTCACGGAGATGGGCTATCAGTATTCACTGGCCTTGCCATTCCTGTTGTCCTCTAAGTGTAACTTGAATTAGAGTTGATACTTGTTGGCTCCTACATGAGAGAAATACCAGAATACAGTAGAGTTTGAGTCAGGTTGTAAGCCACTCTTTGCCACCAACAAATTGTGCCCTTTGGGTGAAGTGGTTTTGCTCTTTAAGACCCAGCTTTCATATCTATAAATGGAGTTTGGGGGTTTTTTTTAGAGTCCTTCTGGGTATACATTCTGTGGCTCTTCACTAAAACAGATGAACTGGTAAGTGCTCTAAAAGAAAAGTTACCCAGAAGTCCATACCAATTTGTAGTGAGGTCTTTTCTGGTTGTCCTTGTTGTTTTAAGATAGTCTCACTCTGTAGCCGAGGGTGGCCTGAAAGTCATGATCTTCCTTTTTCTATCCCCTGAATAAGGTTTCAGATATTGAGGCTAAATATCCTAGGTTCTGGCTGTTTAAGATAGTTTCTAGGTGTTGCATGTCAGAGCAGGGAACAAGGTTCATTTTAACGGATTTAGACTTGTTCTCTTAGTTTGGTGTAGGACATAATATAACTTGTGATGCCCAAAAGATTACTTTGGGTGATTTCGCTACCTTTGGTACCACATGTGTCTTGGTAACTCCCATTTCTAGAACTGGGTGTAAATTCAGTAGTCTCTGTGAAGGTGTCCAACACAGTGCCTAGTGCCTCACATGAGACTCAGTTAACTTTGATTCTGAGCAACTCCTTGCCAAGCATTTACTACCACTGATGAAGTACAGCTTTAAAGTCTTCCTCTACCTTTGAGACTTGGAATATCAGTATTCATGCATGTATCAGTGTCCTAATAGCTTCAGGGTGTTTATTTTTTGTTTTTTAAGGGAACAATGATAAATTTAGAGGTCCTGAAACCAATCCGGGATGTCAAGGGTTGAGTGCATATTAAAATCATAAATGCTCTTTTAAAAACTCTAAGGGAGTGGGTAGTCTTAAAGGGAAAAGAAATCCTTGCTCAAACAGTACTTTTTTGTTTAATTCTGATCATTTGCTTTGTTGAGCCATTTTTATTATGTAGCCTCTGAGCTAAATAAAATTTCAATGTCTTTAAATCCCAGACATATTGTGAAACAGCAGTTTTAGGACATGTGGAAGATCTTACACCCATAAGTGATGGTTATCAAAGTGTGTGCTAATGTTTCTGTGCTGGTAATTGTTTCCGTTGATTTAAAACTGTAGGCTTTTTATTAGAAGGTTGAAACTAGCATGGATATAAAAAGATAGTTCTAGGGGACTGGAGTAGAAATTGAGATGCTTTGTAATCAGGATATTTTCTTCTGGTTGTAAGCCCAGTCTTACCAATTAATGTCCTGCTTGCTTTGTCAGCCATACATGATCAGTGAATGTTGATGCTTTGTTCTGTTGACTATCACAGAGGTATGGAGGTCCTGTCTTAGGAATAGCTTGTTTGTTTTTCAGTTTACTAATGGACTCATTCAGGATTGGCTTGAGATACTGATTATCAGGTTAAGCCAGTACTAAATGACTCAGTGCTAATGACTGAGTCATCATGAAGGAGTACTTAGAAAAAGAACTTTAGCCGGGCAGTGGTGGCACATGGCTTTAATCCCAGCACTTGGGAGGCAGAGGCAGGTGGATTTCTGAGTTCGAGGCCAGCCTGGTCTACAGAGTGAGTACCAGGACAGCCCAGGCTACACAGAGAAACCCTGTCTCGAAAAACCAAAAAAAAAAAAAAAAAACCAAAAAAAAAAACCCCAAAAAAAAACCAAACTACAAACAAAAAAGAAAGAAAGAAAAAAGAAAAAGAACTTTAAAAGGGTTCTTTATTTGAGACGTGACAAAATGGAAGTAAATTTTGATTTTTATAAGGTCTACTTAATGGGTAAATTATACAGTATAAAAAGATTCAGAAAATTATGAATTAAGATTGCATTGTAGGGCACAATCTTTCTAAAGATACTGAAAAAGAGAGTGATTCAAAATAGGTTTGTCTACCAGGGAGGGCACATTGCCAATCTGTCTTGAGTTCCTTTAGGTAATTTTTAATGTTTAAAATTCACAGTGCATATGTTCCTTTTGGGCATCTGTTGAATGTGTTGTTCCAAGGCAGAAATGGTGGTGCACGCTTGTAATCTTAGTACTTGGATGGTGAGATAGGGAGATAACAAGTTTTGAGAACTGTCTGGGCTACATAGCAAGTTCCAGCTTTGGGACTGGAATTACAGATGGGTATAAACCACCTTGTGGGTACTAGACTCAAACCGCCTGGGTCCTCTGCAAGAGCAACAAATGCTCTTAACTGTATGAGCCATCTCTACAACCACCTGTTTTTAAACTTAAAAAATGATATATGTATGTATTTTATGTGGTGTGTGTTTGAGTGTGCACATTCACATTTCTGTGTGGATACCCAAGGACAATTTATGGAGTCTGTTTCCCCTACTCATGTGGATCTCTGAGGAGTCAGACTTTCTTGTCTGGCTTGGCAGCAAGTGTCTTTACCACTGAGCCATCATTGTTGGTCCTCAGATGTTTAATAAATATTCATAGTGTCATTAACCTGAATTTTAGATTTAACAAACTGCTTCTCTTAGTCCTTATACCTAGCCTTTTGTTTTTAATGGCTATTAACATTGAATGAGCATGTCATAGTTATATTGTTTATATTTATATCATTTGATGCTGTTATTGATAGGGTTTTTATGAGATTTCAGATTAATATAATAGTCAAAGCTTTAGTTAGCTCCTTTTGATAATCTTTTTAAGATTGACACTTAAAAGGATTCACACCTATTTAACAGTACTGCTCTTCTGCTCCAGTGAGCGCTAACAATTAACAACAGTCATTTTTAGTGGCAACAAGCTGGTAACCTTGACTAGACACATATGTTCCTAAGTCAAGTTACCAATAACTGTTTGTTCTTCTGTGTTTGCTCATCACAACAGACTATTTGTTGTTTGTTTTGTTTTTAGATTTCCCCAAGAAAATTATACTTATCTAATTGAACCTTGTGCCTCTGCCCTGAAAGTATCTGCTGAGCAGTGGCTGTGTTGGGTGTAGTTGTGACTTTAATCAGTATTCTAGAGAAAAATTTAAAGTCTGTCAGAGCTGTGAGAGAGATGAGTCCGTGAGGAGTACATGTCCAAAGAAAGGGACAAATGAGGGAAGATGAGTGCATGTGCTTAAGAAGGGATGTCAAGGGACCAAAAAGTTCATGTGGGAAAGTTATGAGAGAAAGATGGGTAGGCAATTGGATGTTGCATGCAGAAACCCTTGAACTTGTGAGTATTAAGGCCTTTGGATTTGTCTTCAAGTAGCATATTTCTGAGGCAGGATTATAGGAAGTGATATGCTTGAACTATTGATCAGATGTAATAAGGGTTAACATGAGGGAAATGAGATTAGCCAAGGGATTGAATACATTTAGGTAAATTCAAATTAGAATGGAAAGGAAGCTGGAGACGTGACTAAGTCTGTGAGCAAAGGTTCATGGGAGACAGACTTGAGGTAAAAATAATAATTCTTGGTTTAACCCCAGCTCTGGCAAAAATTTCAAAGTTAAAAGGGAGAGATTGAGAAGGAAGGAAAGTAGAGAACTGAAGACAGACTTTGAAGGTTAGAATTACTGAGGTATAGTTTAATTACAACTCCTCAATTTTTTATTGTGCAACTTAGTGAGTTTTAATAGAGGCATGCAGTCTGTAAGTGTCACTACAGTCATGGCGTAGGCCAGTTTTATCTCCTCATAAAGTTTCTTTGTATATCTTGGCAGATAGTCCTCTATCACTAGCCCAAGCCCTGGCAACCTCTGGGCTGTTTTTGTTTCTATAGGTTTTTGTTTTTGTAGAATTTCCTGTAAATGAACCTTGTCTGTGTGGGGCTTTGGTTTAACATGGTCTTTGAGAGTCATCTGTGTGTCTCATGTGCCAGGGGTCTTCCAGTGTTTTATTCATTTCAGCACATGAAGGACATTGTACTGTTTTCAGAGTTTGAGGTTTTTATTTATTTTTATAAAAT